TATTTGTACAAAACTTCAAACCTAATGTAATCGGCTGCCAACACTTTAAAGGCATTTTTCTCGAAACGCTGTTTTCAGAGTCAGTGAAGGAAAATTCTCCGAAACGGCTGTACTAACTTCTATTTGTCTGGTAGTGATCGAAGTATTGAGATTTCTCAGAATAATTGCGATTTTTTATGCCACTGTAAAGTGTATACGACTTACTTTTTTGGGCAGCCGCCATATTGTCAAAAATTTTTTACCAGTTTTTCGATAGTTCCCTGAATTCATCTATTGTTATAATATTTTTCATCATTTTATCAAGAGAATCCTAAATTTTTCAAAATGAATCACTGATTATTAAAGAACATTCAATTCTGTAAATTTAATTAACATTATAGTTATTTATTTATTGTACTCAAAAAAATATTAATAAAAATTTTACACAAGAAGCGTTTTTTCTGACTAGCAAGTGGATATGACTCTTTAAGTATTCTAAAAAACTTTAGATTTTGAGCAGAATTCTTAAAAAAACTTGTTCTAGGACGCTGTTGATGTTGTTGGAAATCCCGGAATTAAGATCCTTAATCCTTAATTAAGAAGAAATAAGAGTCAGTAGAAGAATTATATAAATAAATATTGTAGTACATTTTTCGAAATAAAAACATAAAAACATTAACATAAAATAAGTGTTTGAAAAAAATGTCCGAGATTTCATTGGTTGCTTTTTCTTGGCATTAAACCCGATTAGGCTTATGATAGTACTTTTGAAAAAGGATCATTGAGAACAAAACCTACACTAAGAATATTGTCTTTTGGCTAGGCTGTTTGCGACCGCCACAGATAAGAGTTATAGGGTCAGAGACCGTGTCTGTGCGTATTAAACCTTATAACAACTTTTCGAGGCTTCGCTCAACGAGAACAAGTAAATTTATGACATATTTGTTTTGCTAGAATCTTAACAATAATCAAAAGAAATATGAAACATACAACAACAAGTTTTTATGAGATTTCAAGCCCAAAATTACGGTTTGGTTGAAAAGAAGATATAAACTGTCTTACAAGCCAACACATTTAGGGATTCTACTTTATGATAACGATGGAGATCTAAAAGTAGAATAATTAATTGTTATGAAAGTTTGACAGTTGTAGCAAGTTGTCGTTTGTATCAATATTAAAAATTCGCAATTTTTGGATTGTTTTTTAAATATAACTGTTAATACATAACATATACTTTATATTACAACACGATCACTGTGGCAACGAATTTGGATATAAATTGGCCAAAGCAGCAGTTGGTCGAACCGAAAGCGATGGATTTTGTTGTGATTGTTCGCAGCTTTGCATGGAATTTGAATGCTGGTACGCTTGTTATGCGATGTTATGTTATGCTAGGCTATGCTGATTTTGTCAGCGATTGTCTGCCACAGACAAATGCAGATACACAAAATACTGCAAATATTCTCTATTCGAGCGACAATTGCGGGTGAAGGAATTGCCGAAAATTGTGCTCGCTTAATTGCGGCAGTAAATAACGGTATATACACAAATACACACGAATGCATTGCTACACAATTGTAATTGTTGCATACATCACGTGCTACTTTTTAGCAATGCCACTTGCCAATTCAAGGCACATTCAACTTACTTGAACTGGAAAAAATGGCATTACAATAGAATGCTTGAATGTAGAAAAAAATTTATAAGTTTAATGTTATAAAAAAATGAAGAATAAAAAAAATACAACCACACACACGTTAGCTGCAGCTGCACCGAAGCTGTAATACCCTTCACAGGTGCATTTTATATAGCACAAAAGGGTATACAACGATTTTTATCTTGATTTTGATCGTTCAGTTTGTATGACAGTTACATATATAAGCTATAGTGCTTCGATATCGGCGGGTCCGACAAATGAGCAGCTTGTTGGAGATAACGTATGCAACATTTCAGATCGATATTTCAAAAACTAAAAAACTACAGACGACATATCTCGTCATTCTGATCACTTATATATAGAACCATATATAAATATATATATAATATATAGGTATATACCTATGTTAGTTAAATGATCACCGCCGTTTTTTTCTGAGTATTACAAACTTCATGGAAAACTTAATATAGCCTGTTCAGGGTATCCATATAAATACTAAAGCCACACTAAACCCCAAAAACTTTCAAACAAAGTTTTTTATTTCGGTTTTGTCAAATTTTTTCCGAAAAGCAACTCGTGCTTGTCAGTTGCCAGCGCAATTGTTCTACTTTGCGTTAACTTCGCTGCACAAATATGTAAAGTTGGTTTAAGTTTATTTATTTATTTCTATTTATATTTCCTATATTTTATGCACATGTTTTGTATCTGTTTTCTAATACCAAAATTTTTGCACGCTTATTGCTTCATTCCACAACATTCGTTGCAGTTATTGCAACTATGTGTGTTTGTTGCATCTGCAGCTGTCAGCGGCATACTGTGCTATTGGCAATGCAACGCTGTCAGCGACATAAACAGTGCATTTAACTTTGCGAAGAGAGACCCCTCTCCTCTCTCGCTAACTCTTGGAGCTTAAAGTTGAGCAACAAAAAATATTCTAAACAGTATTGAGCAGCTTATTGTTGTCTACAGTTTGAGCCAACAACTTAAATGCCAAATGCATTATGCAACATTATTAAAATGTGTTAAAAAGCCAAATATGCTGGTTACAGTTATTTTTGGCTGTTTAAGAATGCTGTGATTTAAGGCATCTTTAAAGCCAGCGTAGTTAATGACGCAGAAATGGGTAGGAAAATTGGCAACAGAACCAATGCACTTATTGTTTATCAACTTGGTATATTAAACATAAGTTTTCCATTAAACGCCGCATTAAGAGAATGGTTATAGAATCTAAATGATATATACAATATATATCATATGTACCCTTAATACTGACTTGACACCTCATTCCAAAATAACCTTCATTACAAATATGTTTGGGTAAACTTAACCAATGGTTAGCTAACTGCCAGTTATATATTCGCATTATACATACATACCTATGTACACTTGACACTATGTCAACACCTCACTTAAAATAAACAAGTTTTCAAATACATTTGCGTAAAAAAATTTAAAGTAACCAGTGGTTAACTAACTTCCAGTTACACCAAACATTTTCTCGAAACTACAATATCTGTAAGACATTTCACTTCCAAATAAGTTTGCTTTCGATAAGACTTAAGATAAACTAGGCAGTGGTTAACTAACTTGCGGTTAAATTACGCGTACTTCGAAACTACAATTTACGCATAATTGATGCAATAAAAAATTTACCTTGCTTTTAATTATGGTTAGTGATATTAAAGTAACCATAGGTTAACTATCATCCGGTTGAACTGCAAACTAGCTCAGAACTAATTTAATGCATACAAAAAAAATTTACTGAACAAGCCTTTAGAGTGCATTTTACAAATAAGTTGACTACCTTATCAAAAATGACAAGTAACTGGTTTTTAGAATTCCAGTGAACTTATGTTTTCACTATTGTTATTGTAGTATCAGTATTTTGCATGATAGAACGCTTTAAAATTAGAATTAATATTTTTTGATTTCAGTGTTACCTTCGCCAACTATTTCAAAACCCAAAATTGCTTTAATAAAGTGTTATATAATTATTGCTAAATGTCAATACGATTTTCATTTTAAACCCTGTTTCTTTAGACGTCTTTTGTTATTATTTTATTTTACTCTTTTGGTTGCGTTTTTTAAGGTCATTTCATTTTCGCCGATTTTATGTATTTCATACTTCAAACTATGACAGCAACAACAATTCAGTATTTTTCAGACATAACTGTGGTGTAATCCAGTTATTCGATGTTTGATAATAAAAAAATGTTATGTTTTTTTGTATCTGCTCTGTTTTCTTCTATTCTTTTTTATGGTTTCTCCTCTTTACGATAGCTGCTCCAGTTCTTTAGGAAATACTTTTTCTTTCTGTTCTTTTTACGCAGTTTACGCTGTTTACTTGTGGTGTCGTAATGTTACCACTCTGACCGTATGCGATAGAATGATGTGTATGTAAGTGTAGATATGTAAATATTTTTAAGCGAAACATCCATGCGCCCAAAGTGGGTCAGCGGCAATGTAAAATGACACAAGTGACGACACAATGGCAAATGCACTTTTTTTTACATTCACACACACACATGCAAATCTATACACACAGATATGTAGTAGGCTTTTGGGAAAGGGGTCACCACATGTATGGTATAAACAATACATTCATAATTACTGTTTACATTACAGTATATGGGTTTAATAGCTTAGTTGGTCTATAATTTATTTGGTAATTGTATGAAAGTAATCATTCAACCTCAACGGTAGGTAAATCTGATTAGATAACGAAATCATTGGGTAGTCATATCAGTTAAATAAATTTAAAAATCGATAAATTCTTTCAGAGCAATGAAAGTATGTAAATAAATTCTACATATGTACGTTAGGGAATATTGCCAAAGTGCAAACATATGAATGTACCTGTAGTATATATGTATATAGTATATATGTACGTACATATAGTATTGTGGCAACTAATGCCATTTATAACATATGAATTTCAAGGAAATTTGCAATATAGGTGTATATACCATCTGATTAAATTTGCCTCGGACCAACTGAATCGATAAACAAATTTTTTATCATCTCTTATGGATCGACTCAACATATTTCGGTTAATGCTTTGGGTATGAAATGTGCCGTACAACGTCGATAGAGATCGCTATGGAGATGCTTGACAACGGATTTGAGAATACTAGATACGAGACGTGGGTTTATGAATATGTAGACTAAATATGTGAATACTTATGCGCAAATAAAATATTATTCAGATTGACCGCTGTAGAAAATAAATCTTGTGCGCTTAAATATGTATATGTTAATACTTTCATACTATCAATTTTTATAAAAATTTAAAAACTTTGAAAGCTTTAAATTGATAAGCTTATAGGTTTAATTTAATTCAATTGAAAAACAGAAAGTCTTGTCAGCCACTTTCATTTTACCACCAAACCTTTGAAAATCAACCTTGCGATTGCGAAATAACAAGTGTAACGCAATACACGATAATTCTAAGTTCCTAGAAATGCACAAGATTTAAAAGCAACCCAATATTATGGGCAGTAGAGCAATATAAGAGAGTTGAACGCGGACCAAACGCGCATTCTTTATATGAATATCACGGGGATTAAGTGCACTCGCCCACCGTTCGTCTCACAATCTTCCGGTTGGCCGGAATCTGCTATGAAATCAGCTCGAGCAAATTATTTGCTATTGTAGATTCTGTGACAGTTTCTAAAGTGAAAGCGATAAGTGCGGTCGAAAACAATGAGTTTTATTTAAAGCCGAAGGCTGATAATTATTGTGTTTTAGAGATAGAGAACATAGTAGACAAATGAGTTTTTCGTAAATAGCGAAATTAATAAACAATGTGTAAACAATTTTTTAGTGAAATTTTAAGTAGAAAACAAAGATTTATATTACAAAGGACAACAAGCTAATGACACCAAAAAAATTTGTTTCTATTTAAGTTATAGGAATATAATTCAAATTTTAAGGATAAAAAAATATAATGTATAATTATAAGTACCACTGAAACATACGTTCGTTTTTTCTACATTGTTATTTTTATACTCTTGCAACATGTTGCTACAGAGCATAGTATGTTAATAGTTTTGTTTACCTAACGGTTGCTTGTATCACCTAAAACTAATAGAGATAGATATAGGGTTATATGTATATAAATGATCAGGATAACGAAGTGAGTTGAAATCCGGATGTCTGTCTGTCCATCCGTCTGTGCAAGCAAGCTGTAACTTGATTAAAATTAAGATTTGATGAAATGTGTTCTTTGACATCTTTTTCTGTGGTAATGGCAAATTATTAATAAAAGCGACTCAAAACTATCCCCATCTCTTATATACCTAATATAAGATTTTCAATCTTCCGATTGGCTTTATACCGTATATATTGGTCAATATGTATGATATCTTAACAAAACTAAATGAACGGATGATATTGTACATACTATAGTTTAATGCCGAAAATATGTGATATTGGTCTACGAATTCTACCAGCCCTCATTTACCATATATTCATTATTCCAACAAACCCTATTGTGAATACGACGAACAGTGGATAAGTCAAATAATTATAAAATTACTTAATTGAAGGTATTTCACCGGACTTGCTTCTAGTAAGTTGTAAGAGTATGAAATATTCGTTTACACCTGAACTTAGCCCTTCCTTACTTGTTTAAAATAAAGTTTTGCCAACACCTGAAAGTATTTCCTCGGCTTTGATTGTTGCAAGAGTATAAAATGATTGGTTACCCTCGAACATGGCCCTTCCTTACTTGTAATTTTTTTTTGAGATGGTGTACTCGTATTTGACAACGTAAAAGTGTAAATATGGTTATAAGAGTGTTCACTCATTGTTTTTTGATCGTTATAGAGAGTGTTTACAAAAATTGAAAAACTTAGTTATTTATTAAAAAAAAAAAAAAAAAAAAAGTAACTGTTTTTTTACAGCGCTTTCGTTATTACTATGGCAAAGCTACACATTTATTGCGTGTATTTCTCGCTTTTAATATTCGTATGGAGCCATGCTGCCAGAACGGTGAAGGGAAATAACAACGTAATATATGTAAATTTATATAAATGCGACAAATATTTAAAAATTTCACTCAATAGGTATACACGCTAGTTTATGGCAGTGAGGCAAACTTAGCAAATTTATATAAGGAGACCAAAATTCTGCGAGAAATATTAACAGAACATCGTCAGAGGTGATTATCAAGTATTTACACAAACAATAATACAAAAAGAATAAATTATTTACCAATTCAACAAAATTTACTTAAACTACAATAACTTCGAGACTCTAACTCTCTTATCTCAGTATATTTTCAAAAATACTTTCTTAATAATTTTCAGTCTAAGTAACCTACAGAAGAACTATGCAAGTCTGCAAAAGCGTTTAGACAATTTGGAGATTACACAAAAACGCCAAAGTAATGCTAATATAGTGCAGAAGCTTCAAAAATACATCGTGTCGAAGCTCAACGAACAGAGTAAAGAGCTGATGCAAAAGCAAAGTAATTACAAAAACACAATTCAGGACATATTTGAAACACAAATGAAAACATTTAAGAAAGAGCTGAAGAATTACAAAACCAAATTGCTCGACCAAATGCAAAGTGAACTCGGTAAACGAAAAAATTACACACAGGATAGCGATGAAAAGCATATCGATATGAAAACGCACAAAACACTTATCGAATTTTTGACAAATCTAAAAAACAATAGCAAAGAGATAAAAAAGTTGCCCCCAGAAGCCGTCACATTATTTAACGATATCACGAATATAATTGAGAATCCTTTGTCAAATGAAGACGATGAAGATACATGGTCTTGGTATGCGAAATATTTGCCAAATGCATACGACGAAACGGTCAAGGTGAATGCGAAGCCAGCAGTTGATGTTGAAATCGCAGACAGCTGCCACAAAGCGATCACATCAATGCAGATCGAGGAAGCAACCGCTGGCGACATCTATGCTTTGAATATGACGAAATATAATTTGACCAATATGTATGGTTATTGTTTACCTGATCCGCATGGTGAGGAGGCATGGCTGGTCATAGAGCGACGTATTAGCAATGCTATTTTGTTTAACCGCACTTGGCAGGAGTACAAAAATGGTTTCGGTGATTTAACTGATAGTTTTTTTATTGGACTTGAGCGATTACATAAACTGCTACTGGGTTCGAATTCCCAATTATGGATACAATTGGGCAAAGAATCTAATGAAAGTCCTCATAGAATTTATACGAACTTTATGATATCCAATGAAACAGATCAATATAGATTAACATCGTTGAATCTCGAAGACCTTAGGGATGACCTGGTCAACGCAAAAGGTTGGAGTTTTCAAACATTTGATGTCGGAAATAAATGCGCAGAGATAATGCAAAGTGGCTGGTGGTATAATGAGACAGTAGAACAGAATGTTTGTAGCAATGGGTGAGTACTTTGCACATATATTGGCAACGAATACAGGGTGTTTCATTGACATTAAATGAACTTTACTATATTTCTAGAAACTTGAATACAAAACTGGAAAATGTGTCCTGGAATGGCCATACAGATGTCGTTTATATGCATATGGCAATAAGGCATAAGGACCCTCCAGTAAAACTCCATATTTCATTCGAATGATAGAGACGCAGACGCAGACTTCGTAAGCGAGAAAATTCACAAAAAAAAAACCATTGTTTACATCTTTGAATTAAATGTAGAAATAAAAATTCATCTGCTGCAACTTAAAGAATGTCTCCAAAATTCGTTTTGATTTTCATATTTTGGCAGTTTAAAGTTTGGCAGTTTCGGCTTCACTGTACGATGAATATAGAATTGCACAAACTTGTGATAACCTTTGCAATACACTGGCGAAAGATAGACAGGCAAATCGTCAGTAGTGTGCGTGTGTCATTAATAAGAAATCATAATTTCCCCATACCCCCACTGCTATCTCGCACACTCTAACTCTTGCTGGCTTGCTCACATTTATATTAATTGTTTGATTTTTCCGAAAGATTTTACGAAATTAATAGACAGTTGTCGTGGTAAGAGCACTGGGTGCGGTTTGCTTTTTATATTGTAGTCATTGCGAAAAATAACGCTATGCTCTCTATACGTTTTAAGAGAAAAGCGGTAAAGGTAATCGTTGAAAGTTTATTTATATTTTGCATTTGTTTTGTAAAAAGTATAATAAAGTGTCGAGAATTAAAAAACAATTGTGTTAAGTGTATCGGTTTAAAAGCAGAAGAAACAGAACCAAGAGCCCCAAAACGAAAACTCAACAGAAATTGGTGACAGTTATCTATGAAATTTCGGAGAAAAGAACAATATACTCAGAAACTTTGAAACTTTATTCATTAATGACGTGAACTCGTGATAATTCGTGCGTTATGATCTACTTTTTACTTTGAAATCAAATCAAATCTTAAGCCAATGAACGGTCAAATCAGCCGATCCACATATTATATATTACATAGGTATAAGTGTTATTGGCAACTAGGTCTCTTAAATACGCTAGTATAACTGGCTGGGCTATATAATGGTATGTTTTCGCTTACTTCCTCAATCGAATATTTTGTGGATTTACCCAGCTGTAGGTCAGTGTGTTCTTCAAACTCGTTTCGATATTGCCCTCTGTAGACATTTGGCTTATTTAATAAAAACCATCGAAATCATTTGTCACACTGAGTCCGGCCAGCAGTTTATCTACAAAAATCAAAAAATGTTAAAGACAGTCTCTGTGTTTCTCCACTACATGTTTTATAGCCACGTCTGCAAAACGACAATAGTTTAAAATTTAGAATAGATATTTAGATAGGTCAGGGCTTGGCGTGACATACAAACAAACACACGAATTTCTTGATATCCCAAGTATATATAAAGATTGCTGAAGTGCCATATTTATAAATTTATATATTTTTTATACCAAAACAGTATTTATTTTACTACACTGCGTGCCATCTTATTATGACTAGAGGCTCAATTTTCTGTTTACTGTTACAAATCTTAATAGTGTGCTCTCTGTATGATGGAAACAAAGCGGCTGATGACGATAATGCAAGTACAAACAAATAACGGTACCTAAGAATGTAAATTTTCAAGTAATCATTTTCCTACACTACAGTCCTTCACACTGTTCTTTGGCAGCGAGTCATCTGTGGAGAATGTGCAGAAAGAAGTCAGCGGAGCTAAGCAAACCCTAACAGATGCCGTACAAAGGTATACAGTACATTCCACTAAATAGGTAAATTCAAATATAATTACACACATCTAATGACAATGCTTTAGTTCAAGCAATCGAATGCTCGAAGACTATGGCAGCTTGGTGAAAAGTTTTGAGAGACTAGAAATTGCGCTGGAAAAGCAAAATGACAATGTCTTAAGGATACTGGAAACATTTATTGAGGAAAATTTAGCGATACAGAGCACAGCGCTGTTGCAACAGCTGACAGCTGATCAAAATTGGCTGCTAGAGATGATGAGCACACAGCAGAGATCGTTTATCTCAGAGTTGCAAATGAGCGAAGGAAAATTGCTTGATGACATCATACAAAATGAAACACCCAATGAAGTGTAGACTCATTAATGGCAACATTATTCAGATAGCATAGCTGCAAAAGAACACTGCGAAACGGTTAAAATTTCCTTTTAGGTGTTGAGGCAAGCAATTAAATAAGAAGTGAAATCAGAAAGCAAAATAAATTATTTAGAAATATACATATGTATGTGCTTTCGGAGATTCTGCGGAAATTGTAGCAAATAATTTTAAAGAATATATAAAAATATCAGAAGAACATGAATCAATTTACAAATATTATGTAGTTAACAGATAACCAGAGCAAAAAAAAATTTATTTTGAAAGTAAAGTCAATCTAGGATTTTCGAGAAAGAAAACGATGAGAAGTTAGCTATGATTTTAAAGGTTAATTGTTCTTCAATCTTTCATACTTTAAAACACTGTAATTCAGTTAGTTCGACTGGCGCAATTTGTAAATTAAGAGGCTATATCCACTTGCGAATTTCAAAAAATCAATTTTTTGGTTTTGCATATATACATGCATATGTATAAATATATTTGAGAAAATTCTCCGTAAATTAAATTTTTCCGGAAACTTTAAAAACGTTTTTTTTAGAGTGGTGAAGAAAATTTCTTCAAAACGACTGAACCGATCGACTTGACATTTTTACACGTCAGGTAAACTTAAATATATTGTATTTGTCAAGTAAATCTCGGGAATAAAATTTTCGATGATGTTTTCGATTTTTTAACAAAAATCGACTTTTTTGGAAAGCCATCGTTTTGTTAAAAACCAACTTTTTGACTAGTCCTCTATTCATTCCAGGTAATTCATCTATTGTGATACTATTTTTTGGAGTTTTTGAATTGTAGATAATTTTAAGCGGAAAATACTTTCAAACCTTTTTTCGGAGGTCCTCCTGAGAAGCGGCTGCGGGTCAAGAAAACTCAATTTTTTCAAAATAAATTACCACTTTGTAAAGTACATTAAATTTTGTAAATGCAGATTATTTTTATTTATTTATTAAATCAAATATCTCTTCAAACAAAATTTACAAAAAATTCATTTTTTTTTTACTTGAAAGTGGATATAAGCCCTTAATTGTAGTAAAAAATATTTTTTTTCAAAATAAATGTTTAGCTTTAAATACACTCTATACTATAACGGCTTTTTATTTAATTTTTTTTTTTTTTAATTTGTGAATTTTGAGATCATTATTCTTCTCAATTCTTTGGAGCTTAGTCTTCAACAAAATCTATGCAATATTAAAAACATATCAGAACATTTAAAAAATATAAGATTGAACTCTGCAAAAAGACAATACAACACACATCGGAAGTGCAAAAAATCATAAAATGAAAACATAACGGAATTACGTATACAGGTACTTAAAAAAATCGGCTAATAGCAACGAAATTAGCAAAAAATTCTGAAAAATGTGCGAAAAATTAAAAATAAAAAGAATATAACACATGCGAGACATAACGGGATACGCATTTAAATTATAACAAGTAAATATTATTGTAGACGTCTTACGTGTGTGAATTTATGTATGTAGCAAGCAACGGACCGGATCACAAATGATGTCAAAGGCCAAAGCACTGCCGGTCAAGACTGTGTATAGATGTGTATATATGAATGTGTCTTCATTATTGCTGTGAAATTTGCGAGTGACTAAATATTTTTTCACTATTTTTGCCGTAAAAAAAGAGTTTTATAAGCAAATATGTAAATACATACACACGCATGTAAATAGAACAAAGCACGCAAATGGCGAGCGGATGCGCTGGGCCAGAAAATTTGCGTGTATGCTAGGTGAATCACATGTTAATAGCCGACAGGTTAAGACGCGCAGCTAAGCAAGAAAGCCATTTGAAAAGGTTGTGTGGAAAATTGCGTGTGTGTGTGTATGTGCCCTTTTAATTTTATGCAGCAGCAGTAGTATGACTTTGTTGTTATATTAATAAATTCAAAAAGAAAATTAAAATATCACAAAATGCGCGTAAAATGTTTTTCCCTCCATAAGAAGAAGAAGAAGAAGAGAAGAATTAATAAGGCAAATCATGAATTGGGTTTAATGCGCCGCTCTCTTTGTCAAGCAATTAAAATTTTATTAAAGTCACAATGGCAGTAAGAATAAAGCCGATCACTACTTTTCAGGTGAAAAAGAATTAATATTTCGTGACCTTAAATATAGTATAAAAAATTTCTTATGGTTGACCAAAAGTGTTGTTGAAAATCTTGATTTAGAACTGCAAGATTGTTCCGAGAGCATCGAAAATGAATAAATCAATGACGAACACGGCAAAAAAAATACATAAAAATCATTATTAAAACAAATTTATATAAAAAATCAATAAAACTATCGACATTGCGTTCGAAAATATCGACAATCGGTTGAGAAAATAACTTTAAGGCGTTGAAAGATATATAATATCGATCCAAAAATTTAAAAAAATATTATCTATAAATTACTTGTAAATAAAAAGCTTCAAATATTACTACCATATATATAGACATTTATATAAAGGTAACACAAGCTCTATGGACAAACATAACGATAACAGATATTAAGAATAAATACCACCATTAACCTTAAAATTTCAAAAAACGTACAATGTCTGAGTTGTATTATTCTGAATTATATTTCGAAATTAAAAAATATTTTTAAAATAGTATTATTTCAGTTTCCAAATTGAGTTTTCAAAAATCTCACAATGACAGTAAAAGTATTGCCTAATATCGAACTGTAAAAAAATCGATGACTAAACTTGCAATTATCGTTAATCTATTATGGAGATATCGATAAGGAATCGTAAAAATTTTGACAACTAAGCAACAATATATCGATAATAACACGTAAACATCGATAATGCTTTCAAAAATATTGATATACTATCGAAAAAATATTAAAAACTCGTAAAAAATGGATAAAACGCTTTAAGTTCACCAATAACGGACAGTAAAAATATCGATAACTAATCATAAAATACCGATCAAATATTTTAGAATACAAAGGCTTGTAAAAATATCGATAACAATTTAACTTAATAAGACTTATATTTTATCCCTTCATTAAAGTGTAATGCATTTTTGGTGCTCACTACTGTACAACTACCCGAAATATTTAACAGTCTGAATGGCTACTCTAAAGTAAGAACATGCACAGAGTAGTTTGCATGACTATACGTGTGTTACATCATACATATGTGTTTACGGTGCCGTCGCCCAGCACAGGCGATGCGTCGCATGTCCCATGCGTTGGAGCGTAAAGTACGTTAAACCTCACACATGGAGTAGTAAGTCTACGGCGAAAACCTTACACCAAATATACATAAGCCTCACATATGCAAATATATGTAAGTATATGTAGACATACAAATGTACGCGAGTGTTACATGCCACATAATGGCGACTACGTGATGGGAATTTCAAATAACTTCTTTTATAACAATTACAATTACAATTACAATGAAAAGAACATTGTAAAGCAATAACAATAAAAATGAAAAATACGCTTCCTCATTAGAACGCTATGACATAAAAGAAAATCTATAAAAAAAAAAAATACACAGCAATTGTTTCTTTAGGACAGATATGAAACCCTGTTGGGTATTAAAGAGTGACTATAAGCTAGAGAGTTAAAGAGCATACTTAGCTCGGAAGTTTAAAAACATCGATTTTTTCTGATTTCATGACTTCATTTCGATTATAAATGCCCTTAAAAATAGCATATTAACATTTTTATGAATATTTTAAACATTTTTTTTTAATTTACAGCCTTAAAAAGTGTAGCCGCTCAGCCATTTTGTAAATTTTGGATTTTTTCGACAGTAGGTCAATATCATATTATCTATACGGAATTTTTTTTTAGGTTTCATCCACAGACAAGGCCCCAATCATTGGTTAGGAGCGCACATAACATCGGAAATTGGCTTCATTCGAAATTCAAAAGGGTTTCTATCAGTATATAAGTAAGTATTCATATATGTATGTATATGGTATCCATATTTCACAAAACGTTGTATTTTGCTAATTACATATAAGTTGTTGAAGCTAGCCTTATGAAATCGTGCGTTGCAGAGAACAGAAATATGAAAAAAAATTATACGAATTACCCAACCGAAGATAGTGCCATAATTCCTCAAATTATTAACGTTTTTTTTCAAATAAGTTACTAGTTAATGAGTACATTCACTTCTATGCGTCAGTTGTTTAGTTTGTTGACATTTGAACTCACCTGAAATGAGAAGAGAAAGAGAAAAAACTTTAGTTTTAACGTTAATAATAATAATTAGAGTACAAATTGTAAATAATACATTTCGGCAATAAATAAGATTGAAGAAATATTTATATACAATATCAGTACATGTATTCTTCTAGTGTGATCTGTCATTATAACCCAGAGGGATGTTTTTCTCTACAGGTTGTATCATATTACTTGTATAATAATATCAAATATATCTAAATAATCTTTAACTAGTAAATGAGAAGTTTAAAACACCCACACTTCAAAGCAAAATAAATATTTTCCCAACCCTTAAAACCAAAAATTTGTATATGTAGTAGTAATAAAGTCATCGAAATTTGAAACTTTAGAAACACAACTTTATTTTTAGCATACAACTCGTGAAAATTACTTAAAGTATCTCAGAAAAGTACATCTAAAAGTAACTAAGCAAGATAACCATGAAATCTAGCTATATAATTGGCTTCTAGGTAGCACATACTCATACTTATGTCTTAGCAATTTCGACTTTCGGAAATCGATTTGTAGTATTAATTGGATTTTAAAAATCATCGATTTCATTCATTTTAGTGCATTAGCTTGAACTTCTCAATAGGTTTGTTAAGGCAAGTAGGAAAGATCAGTATACTAAACCACGAAGACTAAAATTGGAGATAGCAATGGATAAGGACGTTCTAGGAGTTTAAGCTTGCATCTACGTATACCGAATTCTTAAACGTAAAACATATTTTAGAAAATATTTTAATTTTAAAATGTCACTTAGAAAAAAAAAATATTTTTACTTTGACTGCATCGAAGCTAAATATAATACCCCTACTCTAATAAAAAAAAATTACCATACAATATGGCAGTCATATGCTATAATGGTCTGATCTGAAGCATATGTTGGGAGAGCGAATATCGTGAAGATATCACGTCAAATAAAAAAGTTTTCTAGACAAGATCAGTTT